TATTCTTTTTGTTAAACGTAGTTTGGCATTTTCGAGTAAGCGTTGTTTCATTAGTTCCGCGTTCAGATCAAATATTTGTATTTCATTCGTTACAAGTATGGAACATGTCACTACCACAGTTTTGTGAATTTATAGTACGTTTAATATTATTCATAAACAGGTTATGGGTACGTAAGTGTTGTGAAGAAACCATTTGGGGTTCCTGTAAAAATGCAACAATACACATGTTTCAATAATGCTAGCATATTTACCATATGTAAAAAATAGTTTCTGTGTAATCGAGAAGAATATTGAGTTGAATTTAAAGAACGAAAGGGAGAAAATTAGGAAATACAAATGAGGAAACGTGAAATACGTAAATAGTTTAATAAGTGTGTTTGTAATAACAGAACAAAAAATAAACGATTTTATATGTATTATTAAGAACGCAAATTTCTGTCAAACAAAACATGTGAATTCCGTTCTCTTTAAACAACCAGTTCTATCGACCATATGGTAACAATCACAAATACGGCCACAAAATTTGTCAGCTACAGAGGTCTAGTAATAAAGTTAAATATGAACACGACAGATAGTCTGAAAGTAGATAATGGCAGGAACAGAACTGAATAGTAAATACTGCTGGAAAAAATAAACTACTCTAATTTCATGAGAACCAAAGAAGTAGTGATCAAAGCTGTTGACTTTGTTCAATCCCATTTTTGGATTGCATCGGTGTGTTTATGCAAATGATAGCTTGGTACATACGATCCCTCGAGTTCTACAATTTAAAAAACGATAATAGCCAATAACCTCCTTATGATAACATAATCGAGGTTCAAAACAGTACACAAGAGATACAGAAGAGGTACTATAGGACATTGCAGATACAAATAAAACTAATAGTACTTGAACGCCAATTTCTCCACCTGATGCAGACGCTTAATAAAGCCCAACCATCACAGCAGGAAAAAACTACCTATCAGTCGAAAAATATCTTGTCCATAGAAAGAAGGCTAGGTCAATTGAATCTGCTTCAATGATGAGCGACCAATTAAATAATAATAACTATATGGGAAATACAGTTAATTACTAGTTACTAACAGCACATGTCCCTAAAGTAAACAGTAGGTGTGCTTCAAAATCAACCACATGGAACAGAAGCAATCAGTTGACAAAGTACCAGCCAAAGTGCCACAATTCAGCGCGGTGACCTTCAAAGACTCATATTGAGCAAAACAGAAATAAAACATTCATTAAAAGACTCGACGGAGCCGAAGAATTTGTTACGAACAAAAATTTGTAAACAATATGTTATTACTGATTTTAATCAGCCCGAAAACATTTTAACAAATATGTAGCGTGGCGTCGAGTTGAGATTAACTATGAACACCGCTACCAAGAAACACGTGCCAGGTAAATCAAAAGGCGGAGGTTGAACGTAACCAAACAAATCCATAAAATCCCCGAGAAGCCAAATATCAGAAGACAGTTAATGGACCAAATCGAGATATATTTGCTGGCGATCTCGTGGCATCAAAAGGATACCGAGATCGCGCCAGGATACAAGCTTGGTTACAGAACGTAACCGAATTCGCGCGAGGTCACAATCAAAGTGTGAGTATATGAATGGAAGCACAAAATAACTGTCATTAGCACAGTCAAACAAAAGCACATTGGAACAAACACTGGTACAGTTGGTTATAATAATTGTTTTTATTAAATCAGTCGTGTTCTCGTGATAAATGTGAGTCACTACAAATATATCAAATACTGAAAACGATAAAAAGGCAGTACATCCATCAGAAATGGGGGGATGTTTTTCATATTCTCACAGGGACGTACCAAGATGGATTTTAAGAAAATTATGTTCAAATGTAAGATGTTGTGTTATCACTACATGCAGCGTATACCTGGAAGACTCCCTACACACGTAATCATGATAGAATTAAAAAATGTATTAGTAGTCGATGATAAAACGTCGTGCTTAAGAAAGGTCTTAAGAACTAGTATCTCTTTTGTTATGTTTACGACCTATATTCAAGAATATAAAATATTTTGCCCAACCCTCTTGCTGACTACCAAGGCCAAAGATGAACGATAAAATTTTGTTGGAAATCACAATCCCCAATAGCTTGCATATGGTAACAATTGGACTGGATTTAGAAGTTAGGCAGGAATGTCCGGAAATTAAGAATGATAATAAGTATCATCAATACTTCTAGTTGACATTCTCCCTACAGATTTGCACGAACTACGATATCTGTAACATCCAGATGAGGTAATTTACTCGTACGAATTCTACCAAGATTAACATGTGGACGTCGCAGAAATGAGTCTTGCCGCGGACAAATAAACCCAATGGTGACAATGCTGAGACTGCCTAGATAATTGATCTAAGTAAATTAAGCTCTCCATTTACCTACAAATAAGGTTATCCTTTCTGATAGTCGTGCATAGATGCACTAGATCTTTCTCGCCAATGTCTCTCAATATTTAATTTGTTAGGAAATCTTCATGAGCCCAATGAGAAGGCCAATTAACAGCTTTTATAAGCATGATTGTCTCTATGAGATATACAAAAATTGTAGGAGAGTAGGAACTAAGATTATATCTCTCTAATTGAGTTTCATCAACCTGCAAAGTACTTCTTGAATTTAGAACTAGATTCATTAATGTATGAGTTTCCAGTAACCTTGAGTCTTAAAACAGGCTGTGTTATGATGATTAGGAGTATTTAAATTATAGTACGAACTAAGAATCCCAGAAATAACGTAATCGGGTTAAGAAGTACTAGATAAGCACGAACGAATGTACTGTATTTAGAATTCGAAATCAAGCATTCAAAAAGTACAAAGGAATCATTAGTTCATTCAAACACCACATGTGTGTAAGCATATTTTCGTGGTATTTGTACGAACTAATGAATCCTTTGTGTTTGATTGCGCGCTTACTAAGAATTACAGATATTCTATGTTAATCTAGTTCTACCTACCTTAAATTACATTATCTCGGAAATTATTAGTGATTACATTAATTCGAATACTTCTAATTATCATAATTCCGTAATCTTTACATTACTTTCATGTAAACTCTCTTTTTACAAATGTACCTTTGACTAACACTGTGGATTTCCTTTGTGACTATATATCTACTAATTTTCCCTTTTTTCCTATTCCGTCATAATTGTTGAAAGAATTACTTTGATTATGTACTGCAAATGTCAGTTAACGCAAAGACCTCTCGCTTATTCGGTTCCAAAGATAAAAGTTTATATCTATCTACCATATAGAGATGAATCCAATCGTATATTTTTAAGACAGAGATTTAAAGCAGCCATCGCGAAAACCTATTATGCTCCTAAATTGGTTGTGACTGAAAAGTCTAGGTCCATGATTCCAAATAGACCTAAACAATGCACTAATGATTACGTCACATCCCATTGCATTTTCCAATTTACATGTTTGTGTGGACACACATACATAGGGAGGAGTAATCGAACAATGCAACCAAGGGTCATTGAACATGTGCCTAGATGGCTTCAAAATCAATGTGAGTCAAATGGTCCAATCAATGAGGAAGTAGAAAACCATGTTTATCGATAGTGAAACATAATTGAAACGGGGTACATAATTGACATTAATACAGCTTTCAAAACATTGTATAGAAATTGTCAAGGACGAATTCTCAAATTTATTAAAGCCTTGGCTATTCGTATATTTAAACCCCCCTTATATGCACAAAAACAATATGCCGTAACGTTGAATTTACTCTGGTAATCATTAAGTCATGTTATGGCCTAAGATAATGCGACAATTTCTTATTCTTTCTATACGATGATTCTCTCCCCTTTGTTACCGGTTTTACTTGAACTAACATTTAATTGACCTTTATTAATTTTCATATAAAAATGCCATGACCAAATTATTCGAAATGTATGGCGCAAATACATCACATTTCTCAGATCAACTCCGCCTTCTAATTGCCTTAGATATTCTAATTATCATTATCGCCACTTGATAAATTCAATATCGAACCTAATGCAATTTGACCGCACATTTACAGGTCTGTTTCCCTAAGCTATTGTGAATTTATATGAGTGTAACATGACATATTTCAGTCTACAAAAATTAGATTAACACATCCATCATAAGGAGTGATGACCTTCATAGCTAACAAGAATAGCTGACTCTTTCTAACAATCTAAAAATCACCCCAGACGAAAGTATGCTTTGCAGAATGTATAAAGCCATAAGTTTGGTAACAACTTTGTACTCAATTATCAAAAGACATCGATAATAAAAATTTGATTTTCGATTATAAGTAGTTTGCAGTTAATAATAATTAATAAAGTACAATAAAAGATAATCCTATCTAAAAATCCTAAGATCATATAAGCATTTGATATGTAGGTTTCCTGTTATTCTCTATATAGCCAAATTTCTAATCCTATAGAAAATTTTACGGTATTATTCGCATATACATTTTCAAGTACGTTAATATAACACAAACAAGACAAATGAACTACTCATGTGAAACAACGCATTTCAACAGCTAGAATTCGAGGTTTTGGATTTTGTCTAGGCTGAACACCTTATTTCCAAATTTATTATGCAACAGTGTTATATACATAATAAAGCATATTTTCATTCCCACTAAAAAGTATATGTATTAAAATGTTATAAACATTGCAAATAATCATATTTGAATACTTCTATAGTAAAGTGATATCAACAGAAGGATCATTGAAAATTAAAGAATACTGAACATGTATTTTGTAATATTCATGAACTCCTCTTTGATGCTCACATACAACCCTCAATTCAAAACCAAAATCTTCATGCAAAATATTAGTTTTAGAAAATACCCACTTTAGTATCTGCTTTTATCTTTAATAACCTCTTTTGAAGTGATGTCTCAAGGTTTTATCCTATACAGACTGACTTCCATTCCCGATAAAACTGCTGTGAACTAGGATATATATATATATACCTTCATAACAATAGTAAAAAGAACAACTAGAACATATATAAAGACTATAATTTTTAATTATTGACATATTTCAATGTGAAACAGAGCAAAGTTGACTCTGGTTACAATCAACCAATATATATCAATAAAAATAAATTGTTGTTAAAGAAGAAAAGTAACTACTATATTTTATATGAAATTAAATAGAAATATGTCATGTTAATTAAATGAAGTGAAATAAACATAGTGAAAGCTCTTAGGTTATAAGTATATTGTTACTTAAGTGGTGCAATTTTAAAATAGAACAAAATGAATAAGAAAAGTTGATGGATAAAAAAAAGGAAGAAAAGTTTATAAGGCCAGTGTGTGTGTGTGTGTGTGCAGTACATAGGTGTACATCTAAATAGACACTAGAATCTATAAGTTTGCCAGAAAAATAAACGGAAAATATATAAAAACAGAATAACAGTAATAATAATAATAACGATAAGGACAATGTTTTCTTTATTACCCCGTCCCCCCCATATTAACAGCATCGATAATAATCCAGATATTTAAATTAAACTTTATCTAACGGGAGAATATCATTCTCATCAGCCAATGGAATCAAATCACAAAACATAGAACTTTCAACCTAAAACAAAAGAAAGGTAAAACACAAAATAAAACTTAGTGAGGAATAGAAATCCAAGTCATGAATGTATAACGTTGTGAAGGTCAAAATGAGGATAAAGTATATTATACTCACTAGTGACTGGCTTCAAGATGCATATCCTGGAGGTCTAGTGAGAAGCAGTGACCAATGGAGTTCAATCGGGTTAATTGTAAGATAGTAACTCAGTGATGACAATGGTGGATATGTTGCTCAATTTCGTGAATTGGTTGAACTTAGACATTAACACCGTGTAATCTCGGCTGGCTCAGAGGTCTAGTGGTTAAGCGCTCAAACGCGAGACTGACAGATCCTGTGTTCGAATCTCGCGAAGCGAGATCGTGGATGCGCGCTGCTGAGGAGCCTCAGAGTAGGAAGCGACGGCCGTCCAGTGCTTTCAGGTTTTCCATGCTGGTCTAGCTTCAATTGACTCATGACCTCAACTATTAAAGTACATTTGCCTAATCCTGCCTAGTTACATTTCTATTGGTAATCAATAGTTGTTTTAAAACTGATGAAATTCATAAATGACAGTTCAATAAAATGCTCACAAAACTAAATGAATAAATAATGATTATTTCCTCAGTAAATTGTTGAACAAGAATTGGATGGAACTAGAAAAGAAGGCCCAGGACAGAGTGGGTTGGAGAATGCTGGTCGGCGGCTTATGCTTCATTAGGAGTAACAGGCGTAAGTAACCGCCTCAATAATGTAAATAACTTTAGGACAGATTTACAAAGTCCTAAAATGAAATGTCACATCTCAAACTGACTTAAAATTGAAGATCAAAGACCAACAGGATGCAATCGTAGATAATTCACAGTTATATAAATTTCACTAGGACATCTAAGAATCTTAAATTAAATCATTCCGTCTGATGCGATTGTATAAATGCTATTGAAAAGTCCTAAAATGATAGGATGAAATGCCTTTCTTCACTGTTTTCGTTTTAATGGATTTCTTAGTTGATGCCAGTTTATGATGATAATTATACCTATGTAATGGAAAATTACTACAAAGTTTAAATTCTTAACATACTACTAAACATTTAAACATGCTTTTTGATTCAGAGATAATATCAGTCACGCTTAACAATGATTTAAATGTAAATCAGAAACATCTCTATCTGAAAAACACTTCAAAAAAATTGAACCTTAAAGCCACAGATCTTTGTATGTATAAATTGATAAGTCTTCTAATTGAATACTAGATTCGATTCCTAAGCTCTTCTACTAACCATCACGCTCAATCTACACAGCGACTTGAAGACGAGAGTAAAGGTGCGATATATGAAAAAAACGGTTTACTCCAAAGGCTCGTTTGTATACAGAAAATCTATGGTTTTTATGGTATTTTAGATGTCTTTGAATTTCCGAAAAATTCTGGAATGCTACTAAAAACAGTAGCAGTATAAGTAATCATCTAATCAGAAACTTGATGTGTGATTTTTCACTTTCTAGAAATTTTGTGCAAAACTTCTAATGAATGGTGATTGGATAAGATGCTTCCCAGTGTTTTTAGAGCCTTTCTTGACTTTTTTTTCGAGGAGTTTTCTGGATCTCCCCAACAAATATAAAAACGGAAATCCATTTCAATGGTTTATTTAATATATCTCCAGTTAATGATAACTTCAAACGTCATTTTACTAATTCAAGTAACATACAGAAATTGATAATCAAATTACATTAGTATCATGTATTAGAAATTTGAAACTTTTGAACACAAGACATAGGATATGAAGATATCAAAAGTAATGAAATTAGTTTTGAGATGTTCTGTCTTTATATGACTAAATTAAGTTGAAGCCATATAAGCAACTTTGTGATCTATGTTCTTTCATCTCTTCGCCAATTATATTTTATCTGATGATAAGTGACTCATTAAGATACTACCTTGTTTAAGCATTTTGTATATATCTAAATGAAGACACTAATTACATAATATATTCAATTATTCGATTAAGCATTCATTTTTCGTACAAGCGTTTTATGGAGATTGTTGAGCTTTCATAGATCATATCACCCCTTGATTCTAGTTAGTTAAACAAGAGTTGAATGATGGCTCAGTGGTATGGAGGTTAGGCGATGACCGCGTAACTGAAGGTCCTGGTTTCAATCCCTGGTGGGTCGTGAATGAGAACTTCTAGGGATTCCTATACTACGACGAAACAGCTATCTATTGCTTCCCAAATTTTATTGGTTGTCTGACTAAAGTCAGTTAGCGATGTAATCTATGGGAATTCAAAAATCTCCACGATACACCTGTAATAACAATAATAATCATGTGCACACTAGTAACTAAGTTCAAAATGGGATCCTATCTTTCTTTAAATCTATTTGATTGAAATTTGTGTAGTAGTTCATCAAAAAAATCATCAGTTCACTCATTACATTCATTTCAGTTTTTTGTTAAGAACTAATTGAGTAATACAACGCCTAGTTTGTACATTTAAAACAAATAACTAATTGATCAGTTTATATTCAAGAAATAATAACATTAAACGTACCGACATTGAATATATACACTTTGAAGGCTCAGAGAATGACAAGTAAATATCTTTACTTGTTGAATGTAAACATCTAGGAATTATTCGAAAACAAGAAATTTCAAAAGATGTACATCATACACATATATAAAAACAATGAATATTTTATTTTTTATGATATTATTATGAGAATACTATATTTGAGTTCTGTTTCCACTAGATAACAAACAAGTGATTATAGGATGTTTGTGGTGGCTGATAACTATGTCAAGCCCACTTAAGTTATTCTAGCTTCTGAACAGTTCAATTTATTTATTCTACTCAAACTACATTTTGACCTTGTCACTTATTCGTTTATAAGTCCTGACTGTTTTTATATGATCGTATGTGTGTGTTAACTACCTACCCTATTCATTACGTGTCTGTAACTTATTTTTTGTCTAAATATAAGTATTCAGTCAAGCTTGATCAAAACGAGTGGGCTCACATGCCTTCTCCAATCCGTTTCGCTTTGCTTCGTTTCTCTGATTGTCTGTTTGGGTGAACGATTGAATGAAATATATGAATTCAAAATCCATTCTCGTGTTTGACTTATTTAACTCGGATAATCCGTAACGTGATTTAAGTCGATAATTATAAACGAGGGAAACCGGGATGAATATTTCGACAGCAATCATCATATGATATAACTGGAGTCAGATATCGGGTCATTAAAAGTTTTTTTTTAAATCAATAACTCACCAACACAGTTAAGACTTGCCCATCATACCACTAATTACAGCAATTAATCTAAGTTGACTGGAATATTTATACTATATGAGGCTACTATACCAGGTAAGTCAGTTTAAGTATTGAGGGATAACCCGCACTACTGACAGTGTTATGGTATAGTGATACCAAGTTGTTCCCTAAGAGTAATCAAAACCCTAAATGCTACTGTTTTTTTTCACAAACGAAAGAACGGGTTATAAAAAAATGATGCTAAAACTAGAACATCGCCACTTTTCACGCAGAATTCTGGTTCCGACAGTAAGGTTTGAAGTGCGAGGAGATAATACAGCGTAAAGTACTCATAAAAACATCAGGAATGAACGGCCACAACAAGCAGTCTCTTGGATTCTATGGTCAAAAGACCACGTTCCTAAATTTATTTAATGATATCTCATGGTTTGAGTGAATGGACAGTAGCAACTACCAGTATATAACTAAAAACACACAAAACAGAGAATTGTATAACTAAAGGCACTAGTATAAACCAATAAATTCCAAAAACTTCCTATTTCAAGTAGGCGAGGATGTTGTGCAGAATAGCAGTGGAAGTTCACAATTAAACTATCAAGATTAAACGAATCAACACCAACAAATTATCTATAAGAGCTACAGATTTTCTATCAATTATCCTAAAAGTACGTAATTTTACATTTGATTTCAATGTAGAATAACTGTAAAAACAAAATTTGAATATTCTTGAACAAAATAACTGTTAAGTCTGTCGAAGCGTCCAATTGAGATATGGGCGAAATCGAAGTTCACAAAGTAACGATTCTTTATCGAATAATATACAAAAATTAGTTACAAACCTCAACTTTTGAGGTGTTTGTAGCGTTTACTGCGTCTTTTTTTCTGAAATAAAAAAGGCTAAATAAGTGCAACATGACAGCCTTTGGGTTGTGTCTAATCATGATAACGATCTATCAACAAGCAAAAATTGAACTAAGAGCAAGCAATATTGAAACTATTGTGTTTAAACAAGGGTTAAGTGATTGCACAAAATTGTGAATAACTGCTACAATGATTGATATAAAGTAATTATAATGATAAATACAATAAATGTTATAAGTACAGATAAATATTTCAGAATATTACACGACAAACTTGTGTTACAACATAAGCGTAGAAATTGCTAGGAATACAACTATTTACTGAATATCAATAAGTAGCATAAAACAATATGGAAAAGAGTTGAAGGGAAGTGAATAAGGACAGAGAACGTAAAACAGACTGAACAATAACAAATGAAAAATAAGAACAATAATACAATACGGAAACACTACACAAGTTAATATACTATTCAGTATGAACCATACTTATTCTCTGGAAGTTAAAATGTTGCAGTTCGTCATTTCCAGTGTTACAGTCGAAACACCTCTGGTGGTTTTTTTACATGGAAAGTTAAATAAGTACCATACATAAATTTTTTATTTATGGCTCGTTAGGACGAAGTATAGATCCATGTACTGAAATGTGATTCGAATGTTTGTTGTGTGGCCTAATGGTTTGATATGAAGTATGATAACTTGGATGGATGGAAATTTATGTCAGATCACACATTGTTTACGAGTGATCATAGCTCATCCACTTTTTTATACAGCATAGATGTTAAAGAAAGCCTCATTTAAGTTATGAAGTAGGTTTTGCAATATTGATTATAATTATTTTTTACCAGTTGTCGCTTCAATCATTCGACATCCGAAAAAAGCAATGCTAATAAGTTAGTTAATTAATCCTGACAAAATAAGTTGTAAAGGCGATTGGCGTTTCAGGAAAAAAGAAAAGCTTTAATAAAAATTTGCGAGATTGGAGCACTGGAGAAAGTAAAGCACATGGACACGTTAATAATTCGTATTATAGTTAGGGGCTTCAACACAACTATACTTTGTAAAGCGAATGGACACTTTACTAGTCTGAGTTTTTGCACAGCTGCATTAGACTTTCCTATCGGAAAAACTTGTAACAAAAAAGCGCAGAGAGCAATAATTTGTACACCAGTATAGGATGTGGGTAAAAATAATCGTGTGTGTTATATACGCATATAGAATATAAAAGTCAGAGACTGATAAATTTCAAGGTACACACATAGGCATAGATGTTTGAGGTCGAAAGCATACGTTAAATGAATAAATAGAATGCATAGACAGAGGCCTATACACTCTTAGTATACACATAGATATGGATAGGATTTGAATTTGTTGTACCAAGTCGGAGCCCAGTAATAGTAGGAAATGAAGTACTTGCCTTCAAATCATTGGATTAAAACTTGTCTATTGACGATCAGCTCATTCACGCTCAATACTACAAACAAATTTAGTTTTCAACCCTGTGCAGTGGTTACGGCATAATTTATGGCAATTGATCCGGTTTGTCCCAAACCTGATGGGTATTCCTAGGGATAATCCGGTCCAACACAAAAAGAAATAACATATTTTTCCAGTTCTGCGCATCCCATAAGTCTTTATTAAAAAGTAGTCGAATTTATGATAGAGTGGGGTTGAGCCCGATCTCCACCTAGCCTCTCACACTAGCTCATGGGATTAGGTTCCACTACCCCGGGAGTACCTTGAGGTGTGAGTCGGACCACTTAATTTAATGATGATCCTGTTTGAAACCGTATTAAGCATAACTCATCTGACATTTAAAAAAGTTGATAAATTATTCCCTGATCTCGCAAAAAAGGAATTAAAACGAACTGACTATCAATAGATCTTATAGTATTTAGCCATATCAAGGACAAAATTTACAAGTATTTGCTGTACTCGTAAGAATTGGATCTGGTAATAGCAATTTATACTAGAAAATCGATAGTTCAGTAGGACTAAGAAAATAGACTAGATTAACACTAAATTAACAGAGATTACGACACTCAACCACATGATACACACGAATTCATTATGCGACTAACGATCAAAAACCAGATGTAGGTCGCAATAAGAGATTAATAATACACAATACAAAACAGTCAACAGATGGAGAAGTGGAACAAAACTGAAACTAAGTTTAGAAATGAGATAGTCTCTTTCATTCAGTGTAGCCACATATGCCTGTCTTCTCATATAGGACAATCACCGGTTACTTTGACCAACATTTCAGAATACAAAGTTAGATCTTACTGAAGCTTTGTGTATTGTACGTATGCGTCTGAGAGTATACACAAAAAAATACAAGAATATAATAAAGATAAACAGTAGTTTTACGAAAAGACTCACTTCATTTTTACCACAACTTCTCGAAGTTTGTTAGTTTCTGTACACAAATCACCTTGACCATAGTATAGTGAAATTTGTCTGTAAAATAAATACAGTATAAGAGTAACTAAATGAAAGTACAATCAAGTAAATTCGCAAAAGGTTTAATGCTTGTCACAAAACCTGAAGGGTATGAGTTCGGTCCTCTATGAGGTCACAGGTAAGAGTTCCTGAAGAGCTGCATACTAGAACAAAACAAATTTTTAGTGTACCCTATTTGTCAATGAATGCCTGATTCAAGTCAATTCGTGATGCCAACTGGTCATAGTCATTATTAAGGTTTTGTGGAGATTGTTGAATGTTAATAAGATCACGAACTGACCTTAGATAAACAACCATTGAAAACAAGGACCAAAAAAGCTGTTCAGTACCCCAAAGTTTTCAAAATTTTCCAAATTGGGTCAAGTATGTGATCGCAATAACATTCAATAATCTCTACAAAACCCTATATAATGATAATAAAGGTTCGATGAAAACAAGTGAAATCAGAAGTACAGATATTTATTACCTATTAGAACTACCGGAAGATTTTTGTTTTTTAACATTATTCTCTTCAAACCATTTTAAATGTGCGTCTAAATCCCAATGGCCAAGACGAATTTCTTGAAGTTTTTTTGTATTTGCATCCTATAACAGTGAATCGAAAATAAAAGAATATTTAGTCAGTATATATTAGTGACATAAAAAAACGTAGTAATAACAGGTAGAGATGGATGATGGGTAACAGTGGAATCGGGGACGCACGTTATGTCCTATTTGGAACTCGTCGACTGAATGTATCTGCATTCCGAAGTCACTGTCCATCCACAGACTTGAACCCAGTAGCGTCTGCCTCGAACTCCATCGTATCATTCACTTAGCTGCTGAGCTGCGAGTCCCAAATAAGACGAAACGCGCATTCTAAATTTCGTTGCTAGCCACCAGTCATCTCTACTTATATATCGAGAAAATGTGCACAGCATGCACATATGCCAGAAGAGACGAATCAATTGCAATTCAAATATCAATGGGGAGATTCAGACAAACAACACAAATGAAAAAAGTACCAACTTTTCAGATTCCCTCACATTTAAAATGTTTAACTTAAAATGGTCAACAATCGTAAGACTATATCATTTATGAAAAATTTGTCATGACAGAGATATTATACAGTTAGGGTGTTAATTATCCATATTTTTATAGTCTGCTTTTTGTTAGAGAGGACTCAACTACTTATCGATACTACACACCCAATATTCTTAACCCAGTTCCCCAACCAACTTTTATGGAAAAATTAATATTTTATATGCAAATTTTCTTTTTACTGATCAGTAATTATCAGTAAACAATAGAATAACATAACCACTATTTCAGTGGTTGAGATCATGAGTCAGTTGAAGCTAGACCACCATGGAAAATCTGGAAGCACTAGACGGCCGTTTCTACCTATTGTGGGACTCCTCAGCAGTGCATATCCACGATCCCGCCGCCCGTGGATACGCACTGCTGAGGAGTCCCACAATAGGTAGAAACGGCCGTCTAGTGCTTCCAGATTTTCCATGGTGGTCTAGCTTCAACTGACTCATGATCTCAACCACTGAAATAGTTTTAAGTAAAACGAAAAGTTACAAGTTAAAAAAACAATTATGAAAAGAAGATAATCCAAAAATTACCAGGTGATATTGTCTTATAAACTTGTTGAAGCATATTTCATATGTCCACCAACCTAAATTACCAGTTAAACAAAGTTTTCCTTGAAGAAATTCCATAACCTGATTATCATTGACAGATTTCATTATAGATGGGTTAATCTTAGGTAATGTTGATGATGGTGTTTTCAAGCTAGACGACACTTGATTTACAACATCTAAATCAGAAAAACTTGAACTACCGTGACTATTTTTAGCATCATCATTGACCTAAGTAAAGAAAAAAAGATAGGATAATGGACGTATAATGGAATGCAGATTAACCTATAGTTTACAAAACCATTATATGATGATAGAAGCTAGTTACATATAATTAAATTGGACGAAGTTATGGATATTTAAAACTTCCAAGGATTTGCATCAGAAGCACATTGGTGCAATGATAGTAAACACTAAATCGTATAAAATTCAGTAATAACAATTATTAGTCAACTGAGTGAAATACAATATGGTTATTGCACTCAAGAAATTTAGCTTTTTTGTGTATAGGTAGATTTAACGTAGATGGTTAGGGGTAGAGGTAGTCAGTAGGAAATCATGAACCTATATTTCATACTTTATGAGACTCTTCAGCACATCTTACCTGGAATACTAAAAAAACTGATACTCACTATGAGATTTGAACTCGGCTCACCCAGTTTCGTAGTCTCAGACATTATTAGTGAGCTATTCCGCCAACAACTTATTTCGAGGACTAAAGCATTTACAACTGACTGATCATTGAGTGGTGACTAGCGCCGTGTTTGTCTAGTTCTTCAGAGCTGATCGAATTTCATAAAACAAGTTGTGATTTGATCCAGAGTCTTCTACCGACTATATTTGACCACTTAAGATCTCAACATAATACACGAAAAGTTACGTCACTCACACTAGTGGACAGCTTTAAGCGTGGTCGATAAAAATCTATCAGCACCAAACAATTAAGCAAGCATGATATTAGTCGCTACTTAGTGATTGATCCGTTGTAATTTATGTCAAAATCTGACATAATCTGAAGAACTATTATAAATCAAAAAGCGTCAAACAGTTTTTCCAAATCTTTAACAGCGATGGATACTCATAACCTTTTACACAGTATCGACCTCAAATTCTTTAGGTTTTATAACTAGCATAACACCAATGAACAAGTAAGTTGAAATTACAATAATTCTTCAGCTTATGTTATTTCATAATGGAAATCCCATCGAAATATCAGTAATACACTATCTGTAATATAACTCAACAGTAGTCTGTCCTTTAGGTAATCTCAGCTATCATACCATCTTAACTATGAAAATTTATTGGAAAGTTTTTTAAAAAGAAAGCAGTATTCATGTAGAAAAGATACTGAATCTACAAATCACTTACATTAGTTTTTGTATTATCGACCTGAGAAGTGCTTTCATCATCAGGATCATCAGCCGGATTTACTTGGTAAAAAAGCACATCTTTACCATGTTTTGCACTGATCTAAAAAGATTATTTTCCAAACAAACATATGTATCTGTCAGGTTTTGTAGAAAAATAAGTACATAATTGATAAAAGAAATACCTATTAAGAACGGTGTAAAGCTAAAGGAGAACTAGTGAAAATAATTGTTTCACATCCACAGTCCGGTCGTTTCAAAATCGTAAGTCTACATAGACGTACATCGAAGTTGATCTATGATGATTAGGCCATGTGGCACACAAGAACTACATGACTAGATCACATGGGGTCCGAATTTAATATTTTAAAGTTATAATTAAAATTTTATGGTGTAGCAATTATGTATGTATATTCCTACTTGAATGAGAACAAACACTCATTGGCCAAGTGAACGATTGGAATATGATGTGTTGGTGCAATGAGTTATAAATTTGATGTGTAAATTAAAAATAATACTCGATTTATCAAACTGAAGTAAACTCAGAGTAATGCAAAGTTATGACACGATAGTTAAAAACTAAGATCTTAAAATTATTGAGTCATATAATGAACAGCCCTCATATGAGTGCATTTAGTTTAAGTTACACTATACCACTCAGAGACAAAATAAAAGAAAACCGAGATGGAAAGTAGTAAAAATTAGTTAAAGTTAAGACAAAATATATTGTAAAAGTGTTGATTGGATGGTAAATTGTTCACTTAAACATTGTTAACAGGTGGTGGAACCGTTTGAGCAATGTTGCGTTTAGACATCAAGTTCTATATGATGCAAAGTAAACTATTAAATCGGTAAATTTACAAATGGCATGGTACCTGGGTCATGTATTAACATGTCGATGGAAATATAAGATGCTGTTGAAAATAGGACTGATACATTTTTGAACTAATCTAACTGTTTGCAACTCCGAATTTAATACAATGAACGAAACCGCTGCTATTCTCTTCTTCCCTAAAAACTAACTGGAGCAAGAAGTTCAAGCTTGTATAGAAGCTTTCCTGATGATACCCCATAATAATTCAATTACACTCAAGCTTATTCAAATTATATTTCAATCATTAAATGATCATTAATTACTGAGTGCGAAATGACAGTGGATTAGGAAATACAATGAAAATGCATTGAAAGTTAATAAAGTGAAAGTCATTTTAATCGATACGCGAATTTCAAGATTGATTTATGTTATATCCTACTGAAGATTACATTACGAGTAACGTGATAACTAGCTGGACATAAAGTCACAACAATTTAGACATATGGGACCCCAACATAACTGGAAAAGGAATTAAAAGCAGCTACATTAATGAACGATACCAGTAAACAAAGTCCATAACCCATGGCTCATGTAAGAGGGAAGTAGAAGACTTGTTAAATGGAGTCCACATGATAATATAAGTCATTAAGGCGTATGAGTGACTTCGTCTAGAATATATCAAAGTGGGTTAAGATTGATCTAATATTGAGCCTCTTTGAAACCTTAAACACTTCAACTGCATATTATTTATTATTCTTTGCTTGACATACATCCCTTTGATCCGATTCGCTGAATTTACATTTTATGGATGTTATTTTTCTGTGCTGCCACGAAAAAGGCCAACTCGAACCTGTGAGGTTATATGAAACGTTTTAAGTTATGCCTGTCTTTATATATATATATATATATATATATATATATATATATATATATATATATATATATATATAAGAACTGTAAAAGCATAAAATAAGGAGTTAACGATGTTATCTAAACGTCACTATTTATATTCGATCAGTCAGCAACAACGTAGGACCAGGCACATATATGCATCGGTCCAAGTTGACATACAACATTAAAACAACAAGATGGACACCGGATTCATAAAAGTAGTTAATTCAGAGGTGGTAATATATAAAAGAAAGATTGTAATAAGGGGATAGTACAGGAAGAAAGAATTAGTTCGTAGAAAGAAAGATATGAAGCGATTTTATTCTCTTAGTTTAAGGGAAGACAGAGAGTGTATACACCTACGCCATTGTGATCGATTCTGAGCCATGTCATCTACAGTCTCCAGACATTGGTTACGATAGTCACGCGGACACCAACCAAGTAGTCTGCATCTACCAACATGGATCAGACTAGAAGTTAGTGACTTCAAGCACTGATGCCACGTTCTCGTTTGACCGACCCTGACTTTCTTCCAACCATCCCGAACACCGGTTAGCATTGCACGTCGTGGTAATCGGTGTTCAGGCATACGTAACACGTGGTCCAACCATCTCAGTCGATGAAGATTAACAACCTCATCAACTGATTTACCATCATTACCTAATACCCTGCGTCTAACCTCACTATTACTTACCCGGTGATCCCAACAGACGCCAGCAATATTTCTAAGGCATCTGTGGTCAAATACTAGTAGCTTACGGGTGTCTTCTACCCTTAAAGGCCATGTTTCGCTGCCGTAAAGTAGAACAGAACGGACTGCCGCGCAGTATACTCGTACTTTTGTTGATAGACGGATATCCCGCCTTCGCCAAAGGTGACGTAAGTTGGCAAAAGCCAAGCGAGCTTTTCGAATCCGTGCTGAGATTTTGTCCGATACCAGCGCATTAGGGCTGATCAGACTTCCAAGATGAGTGAAGTTGTCGACGCGTTCGACTACTTCACTCCCTATCCTTAGTTCAGGTGTTGACGCAGACCCGTCCTGAAGTAGCAGCTTGCATTTAGAGGAAGAGAAGCGCATTCCAAACATTCTGGCATTGTTGCTTAGTGCTGCCAAAAGACTTTGCATTTTATCAGCGTCTTCACCAAACAGGACTATATCATTTGCGTATTCTAAGTCGATAAGTGGACCTCCTGGAAGGAGATCAATACCCGAGAATTCAGTAGACGAGAATGTTATTTCCATCAATAGGTCTATGATGAAGTTAAACAAAAATGGAGAAAGTGGACAGCCTTGCTTTTAGTCTTATCGCTCTTCAACCGACCTGTCTGACATGGTAGGACCTTGAGGAACGGTTGTTCCAGCCAGTATAGCTTGGTTGCTTTATCACGATAGGCAAGCCCGACCACCACGTCAAGGTAGCAACAACGGTCGGGATTTATATTCGATGGTTTAAATCAGCGTGAAATGTTGATTATCCTAAGTTTAACATTATATGACTCGTCATTAAACCACTGAGAAAACCCTACTCTTCATAGAACTCAAACTCAGTCCATTCAACTTAACACTCCGATACGCTCATTTGAAAGATTGAAACAAGTGGCTCAGTGAACACAAACAGATATTTTTCTGTTTTCTTTAAAGTTAACAGAATTCCAAAATAAATATTATGACTCAAATTATTTATTGCTCAATAAAAACATCATTGTCCATTGGAATATGGAGTAAAGTTAGTAGCGAGAATTATGTCATAAAATACTATCCGGGTAGATTAATAATGAAATTATAGCACAACTCAGCAGGAATATGCAAACTGATGGATTAAACTATGAATTATATCTACTATTTAAAGGTTACCAATGTCCGTCGTCCACACCTCTGTGAACAGATTAAGATTTTGTCGTATCGTAAAAAACATGGAATTTGAGTGCATAAAACACAAATCTATGAATTTTGTTCTCAAAAAAATAATCGTGCAATCCAAAAATGAAAACGCTAGGAAATCAAATCACACTATCAGTATTAGTATGATTTTAAACAGACACTAAGTGGTGAATACTTGGCCACATAAATACACAAGTTCACATTGTGTAAAGCACATGCAATAAATACTTACTTCAATTAACTGTAAATGAATAATTTTAAATAAATATTTAACCAAAAATAATTAAGATAAAGCATTTTTTCATACTCGGGTCTCCTTCGAGTCTTAGAGTATGTATAATGACTAGCTAGTTAAAACTGTTCAAAGTAACATTTCTCAAGGGATTTCATACACATTACCACTATTGTTGACTTGTAAAAAAGGCAAGAATATCGTACTTGAAATTAAGTGATCAATTACCTTTAATGACGACAGAAAGGAAATCGTTCATAGATAATGTTTCGGTCTACCATTAAAAGCTACTTAAATGACTATTATACTCTTTTAACATAGGGCTTATTGAAATAAACTCTTGGAATTCTCTCGATACATTTTACTGACCTCTTTTATTGCCAATACGTGTTAAGGAATGAGTCAACTGTATTATGATAGATTATATCGTATCTCACTGGTTTTAAAACATTTCAGCACAGAATTGCTAAATGTTTATGCTAATTAATTTTTCATAGTAAGGATTGATAAAAGATCTTGAAGTCCAATGACGTAACATAAATATCTGCCTGTCACTTTCTACAAAGTTTGTTACGTTATGTGAACAGCTAAAGCAAGAAAGCATCCATAAGGCTGTTAAATTTATTCAAACTTTAAAGTTTGGCAAATAAGCCAAGTGACTCAAAATCACACCACACTGAAATGCAAAGGTTAAAGGACGAGTGGTTAAACCACTGAAATACAGCTTCACGCCTAAACGTTTTAGTTAAATCGAGATTATCTATCATACAGAATGTTTGCAGACAATATCGCCCATAAAACAAGTTTTACAAAGAAAAATAAAGGAAAGGATTTGAGTAAAATTCAAGAAACATTAAACGTTTAACAATGCTCAAATTTTCCGTTCAGCGTTCATGTTTCACCTTATGAACCAACTGCGGCAGCTAGTTAGCTAAATAACTATTAAAAGTTACTAAGTTTTGTATAAACATTTACTTTAGAAAGCAAATAACCACTTCATCATGATTATGCTAAGAAGCTAATTTACGCTTAATCATTACAACAAAGCAACTTAAAGATAAGGATACCAAGTCCTTTGACAGTTGAATAATTAAATTTAGCGACAACCTATTAAAATTAAATCTATGACATAAAGAGCAAATACAACCATATTACAATTTACTTCTCGTTAAACGTTTGTGCGAAAATTCCCTCTATGAACAAGAACGAGATTTTATCTTTCATTATAATGACAAAATATACTTATTGCCAACACGACACTAACTCCTACTTCCGTAATTTCGAGAAATATTATCTGAAAGAACAGATAGTTTCTGCCGATGATCATCGACAAACGGATAATGAATGGATCAACTACTCAATTATGTTCACTAAATATAATTCATGGAAATCCATTACTCAGTATAATGACCGAATTTCAATTTTGATCTTACGTACTCTAATCAGTGTCACGATGGCTATTAGATAACAATCAACCAATTTAAATATATGCTTTCTTCAATAACTAACTAATAAGATACCCACATAGAGTTTAATAAAAGTCATGAACCAGGTACACCAAGGTTATTTAAGTTCCTTTATTATTGAAAATAAAAACAAATTGTTAAATTACCTTAACCTTCGATTTAAAAGCATTGCTAAGAAGGGCAGCTAGGTCAGTAAAGCTACGAGACTGAAACTTCTTCCGTTCTGCCTCCAAAGCAACTAATGCCGACGGTTTACTTGGTGAACTGTTTTTTGAGTGACATGAAATTGGATTGGTATGGGCACGCTTTTGCTAAAAAGACCATTCCAAAATACGATTAGTGCACAGAGGGATATATATATTGAAAGTTATTGAAATGATTAAAAATAACTTCGCAACTGAAATTTCGAAGGAACACCAAGTGTATATAGAACAAAATACATTATTACACAACAAGAACGTAACAGGTATGCATATTATAAATGAGCGTTATCAAAAATGTACCTAACTTTATTGTCATAACAACTCCGGCTGCATCAAAGTCAAGTAAATGTTAGTTACACAGCCTTATTAAGACATTAAATAAGTAATTCTGCCTAAAACTGACATCGTTATACTTTCTTCCTCTCTAAGCTGTTTGCACCATTATGTTTACAAAGAGTACGAGTACGCCAATTTACTGCAACATATTGAACCCTAAAAACATCCGTTGATACTAACGTTTTACTCGGATCATTACAACCGAAAGTAATAAGTACATTGATGGTGCAGTGACTTAGTGGTTAGCGCAATCAGTCATACGCAACATATAACCTGGTACATGTATAGCAGTTGGTGCACTCAACGTTCAATTACTAACTTTCAGGTTTGAACCCATCCTCACCCACCTCAGTTTAGACAACTACATGGTAACGAGTCCTTACAGAAAGTGTGTTTAGAGCCGAATGCATAAACACGTATCACAGTGAACGAAATCGAGGTGAGACGTCACGAGCTTGTTATAATGTGAGCAGCAAACGTAGTATTAGCTGTAATAAAATCAAAACTCATTTTTACTGTTGGAGTTACCGTTAGGCTTCTATTTAAAGAAAGACCTGACTAGAAGATAAACTGAGCCGAAGCAAGAGTTGTACAAGTGTAATTTGTAAGTACTCGGTACACTAGTAAGACATACCTTATACAGAGGGTTTGAACATAGAAACTTCGTGGCAAAAACCACTTGATACTGACATGTTCGGATTTCAGACACATCAACGATCTGTCCAGTGACACTTTCATGGCATATATACATAACAGTTGCTGTACGATGCTCCTGATTTAGATCACACAAAGTTCCATCAATATAATTGATTCCATAGTAAGGATATGAGTGTTCCCCAAGAGTAACTGTACTTGGTGGGTTCTAGTGAGAATAATAATAATTAGTGGACATACGTCTTTGCTTGGTCGGTCTTTCCCCATTTTAGGATCTAAGCAATTAATATCATGTAATGTTAAGACATACTTGGATAATAGTGTCCCAGGTAAAATTCTTGGACGGGAGGATTCTATTTTCTATCATATAAAATTTCCTAAACAAACCTTTTCCAATCTCCTTTCCTCATGAAACTGTTTTATATGTCGATTATGACAAAGTTCATAACTCCAATATGCCTCTGATCTGACATTACACGGTTGCTCCGTAAACAAAGGCTGTAGCAGGGTTTCCTCATCAACCGAATCTGTGTTTTTGGCCTCGTCTTCTTCTGTGTTATGGAATAACATAGGTATAAAGCATTCGTAATCCTCTCCAATTGTTGTTCTTATTTTCACAACATCACTTTTCTATCAAGACCGTCGATAAAAAAACAAGAAGTACCTCCCTGGGTTGTTTAGAATCCCCTAGCCATTTAAAGTCAAATATAATATCATCGGTGACATTGTAAGATGCAATAACACATGAAAAACATAAAAATGCCAGGGCAGAGGACAAACGTTTAATTTGACACATAATACAGGTCATCTGCATTGACCGATATAAACACGGATACATATAGCCAAAAAATAGATGTGTTAATATGGTAATAATCCCAAGCCGAAAGCTTAAATTCAGTGCTTCTGATGAGTGAATACCTTTAATTAGTTATTATTTCTTCTCTTCGTTTTTACGATGCATTCCTCCAAGTGTAGCGGTCAATAGATCGCCAGAATCAGTAGCTCTGTAAGTCTTCGACATTGGATGCTGACCATGTTAATTTTAATAGAATCACCTAACTGAACGCGCTCGGTCATGCATCCACACCATCCAGTTTGGATCATCGTCTCTCGATGTATTGATAAACCTTAATTCTGGCTTTTGATTTCACAATATGGATACGATTCATTTTTAGGTGATACTGGTTGGAGTGTTGTCAAACTACAAATACCTGTGGTGAGCCTGACGTGACCTAGTTCACCAACTTGCAAACTGTGAGTCTATTACTTTTTGGAATTCTATATCATTGCTTTATTTTTATTTTTATATATTTTGATATTTTTGAGTTTTTGGATATATATTTTCTTCATTCATCCTTGTGCTTCATATCCGCCATGACAGAACAGACACCTAAGGTACTTAAGTTAAAGGCTGTGACTCTGTAGTGACCTACCTTTATCAAGAGAACGCGATTGGTGTAATGGAAACAATTATTATAACCAATTGTACCAGGGATTGTTTTACCGTAATTGCTTGTTTAACTGCGCCAAAATACATACATTCTTCGGTTGATTGTGACTTTGCACGAATCCGGTTACGCTCAGTAACCACCCTTGTAAGCTGGCACGATCTCGGTATTCTTTCGACACCGCGAGATCGCCAACAAATACATCTCGACTACAGCCATCAACTGCCTTTTGATATTTGGCCTATGGGGGATCTTATCGATTAACTGGCACGTAGTCTTCCTGTGATGGTGATCATAGTCAACCGTGACTTGACGCCACACTAAAACTCCATCTCCATTTCAACTAATGCGCTTTTCAATATAGTGAAAATTCCCATTTTGACGTTCGGTAAAAGAAGGAACGAATTGAGCTAAGAAATTTTTTTACAATTAGTTTTTTTTAACATTTCGCTTAATATCCTTCCGAACAGACAACACCAAAGCCTGATTCTGCTACTCAGAGGCCGACGTCCACAAGCACGGCGTGAATAACGCACGTGCACAAATCCTCGAAGTAGTCAAGGCCCTATTGCGTGAATTCAACAGCTACGTAAAACCTAGTATGTTTACTAGTGATGTTTCGGAACCTTACGAAGCTCTTAAACGCGGAGACATAACCGATCGACAAAGGTTAGTCCAACTCTTAAATAATAACTATCTGCTACGCATTTCAGCCACAGATATATTATTAGGAAGGAGAGAGGTGATTGGCCAAGGAACTTTCGATGACGGTATATTTAGACAATTTTCTTGTCCAAAATATCCCAACAGGTGTAAGTTGTGGTTGGTTGCTTTCAAAACGACGCCATAAACAGCCTGTCTGCATCTGCCGACTGCATTTTAGAGAACACTAAATCTACTAACGTCGAGGTTCATACAGTCAAACAAACACTTTAAGTGACATTACGGAACTATGTCATACGCTGACACATTACCTTCGATTTCGTAATGATAGCAAACGGCCACAAATACCGCGGAGTACTTCACGTAAGTAATCTGTCTCTAGATAACCCCGAATAGTGCTGGTATCATAATCAGTACGAAAAGTCTTCTGCAGAAAACCCTGCAATTTACTGAACTCCGAACCGATCGACAAGAAAAGCGTTTCGGGAAACGTCCTAACCGGCACCCGTTAATGGCGATCGTAGCCGGGGAACACAGCCGTCTGTTATACGTCATTGATGTGGTTGAGAAAGTTCGCTACCTCTTCGACACTGGTGCAGAAGTTAGTTCTTTCAGCGAATTTTAACGACTGACTTCACGAACACGTTTTAAACTTACAGGCGGCAAACGGAAAACCTATCGTCACATATGGTAAACGGTACGTCTACCTTAGCGTGGGTGAAATATAAAATGCTAAACATAACCACTCGCCTTGAGTCCATAGACAAAGATTACCGTGATCAATTTAATTCAATTGATGAAAATATTCCAGTCGACCTTTATGATATCGAATAGCTTCGAGTGCTTGAGTGAATAAAACTTCCCAAACCAAAGATACCTAACTACTAACCTTTCAATTGAAATCTGCGACTCTAAAAAGGAATATTTGACAATAGTACCTATTGAGTCGGCTTCCGAGAACTACAACGGAGCCTCCAGAGACCCTAAAAGAGCCGACGAGTTCCATCTAATCAGAGCGTGGTGGAGCCTTCTAGAATATCAACGTGGCATGCTATTATTGGTCAGTAGCATAATATATCTCATAGCGGATTGGCCAAAATATAATGTTGATTTAACAAATGTTAGTACATATAAATAACCATATTTTTCTGTACAAAAATAAACCTTTGGAGTACATATTTTGCGTCTTTTCTTTCGTGTTTAGGTTGCTGTGTAGTTCTAGCTTGGGGATTACCAGAATAGCTTAAGAACCGAATAAAGCGTTCAATTAGCAAGACTTATCAGTGGCGACGGAAAACTACAATGAATATTTCTTTAGAGCAACTAGAAGCTTATATGAAGCGTCAAGAGAAGAGGTTTGAGCAGTCCTAAATCAGAATCATGGAAGCCCTGATGCAGAAATTGTGCCTGTCCCAGCGAAACCCTGCTTCTAGTGAATCACAAGTATCTCATACTGATTCAATCATTAATGCCATCCATGAATTTAATTTTGATGGTGCAGCAGGTGTAACTTTTGATTCTTGGTTTAAGAAATATGAAGATTTGTTCGATGTTGATCTCTGCAGGCCTGATGACGCCTCAAAAGTCAAAATACTTCTAACAAAACTTGGGACGATGGAACATGGACGTTATATTAACTCCATTCTCCCGAATGACCCACGAAACTTTAGTTTTGATGAAACAATTAAAACTTTGTCTCAAATCTTTGGAGAACAGTCATTTCAACTTAATATTCTTTACCAATGCTTGAAGATAACGAAAGAACCAGGAGATGACTGGGTGAAACGTGCAGGAATTGTAAACCGAGAATGTGAGAGGTACAAGTTGTCTTCCACGACTGAAGATCAGTTTAAATGCCCAGTATTTGTCTGTAGTCTGCGTTCATCCGAAGACGCTGACATTCAAACAAGAGTCCTAAGCAAGCTTGAACATTGTCCCAACATGAATCTGCAGGAAGTAACTACGGAATGCCAAAGGTTAGTGAATTTGAAGCATGAAACCTCGATGGTAGAGAACGGTAACCGTTTCCCCTACGTCAATGCATTCGAGAGAAAAGTCTCACAAGGTTCCAGCACGCAGAACTATCGTGATGACAGCGACAAACCATCATTTCCATGCTGGTCATGTGGAAGTTGGCACTATAAGAGGTTCTGCCCGTATAACGAACATTATTGCAGTAAATGTCATCGAAAGAGCAATATAGAAACCAGCTGCAGTAAAATAAACCATAAACGTTATTCTGCAAAACTCCACTTCAAGAAATACAGGTCTAGCGCATTAACAAAAAGAATATTGGTATCATATAATTAAACACGAAATTGCTGCCAAAGAAAGTACGTAACGTTAGATATTATTAAACACCGTACTCGCCTTCAGCTTGATACAGCTTCTGATATTACCTTAATCAGCCCAGGAACTTGGAGGAACATTGGGAGACCCACAGTTCTCCCAACATCACAAATGGCACACAGTGCATCTGGGAGGAGGTTAAATATTGTTGGAGAAGTGCCCTGCACTGTTTATAACAGTACTGTAACAACGAATGCAACAGTATACCTTACAAAGAAGCCAGTATTCGGCTTATTAGGATTAGATCTTATAGAGATACTTAAACTAGCAGACCATTCCATTAACAGCATCTGCAGACGAATCAGAACTGACAACCCTTTAGAGTGGAACCAGAAAAACGCCGTGCTACGAAGACACCACGACGTGTTTAAAGAAGGATTCGAAGAATGTACGAAGGCCAAAGCATTGTTAAACCTAAAACCTGGAGCTACTCCCACCTTTCGACCTAAAAGACCTGTACCCTATGCTGCTCTTCCAATAGTTGAACAAGAATTACGACTTCAGAAAATGAATGTTATCGAACCTGTGAACCTCTCAAACTGGGCTACACCGATAGTGGTGGTCAAGAAGTCGAATGGAAGCATCCGTCTATGTACAGACTACTCTACCGGATTAAATGAAGCTGTAGAGTCTCACCAGTATCCGTTACTCTTACCCGAAGATCTTTTCGCTAGGCTGAACAGTGGCAGATATTTTGCGAAATTGGACTTACAAGACGCGTACCTACAAATCCCGGTATCTAATGAAAGCAAAGATCCGACGATCAACACACACAAAAGTCTGTTTCGGCATAACCGACCACCTTTTGGGGTGAAGACGGCGCCATCTATTTTCCAGAAAATTATGGATACCATGTTACAAGGTATTCCAGTGTCAGCAGCTTATTTAGATGACATCATAATTATGGCAGCAGACAAAATGGACCTGCAGAAAAAACTGGATCAGGTACTAGAACGCATAGCCGATTATGGTTTTCGCCTCTGAGTTGAAAAGTGTGACTTCTATATGCAGCAAGCACGGTAGCTCGGGTTCATAATAGAAAAAGACGGAAGACGACACTAAGTTCTGGTGCCAAGCGTTTAACATTTAAACCACTAAGCCGGTACCCAACCTAGCTTCAATCGATTGGGGGCTTGATAGCAACGGTAAACAGACGCAACAGAGACTTTTTTACTGAGCTACGACTTTCAAGGGGCTTCGAGGCTTAAAGTCAGTCGATAAGTATCATTATTCGTCTGACTTCAAATACGAAAATTATACTTGTCATCATTATTATTCAAAAGAATGGATTTAATAGGCAGTAATCTTGTGTTAAAATGATCAAAACCTGATAGGAAATTATAAGCAGAGATGGA